GGGGGGGGGGGGGGGGGGGGGGGACCCCCCCCCCCCCTGCCCCCCCGGAGGCTACGGCCCTGGTGTTCCCTTCTTGTATTTTACGACATAATTGCGTGACATATCAGCCGTCGCTACCGTCATCAACTACAAGACATATAAAGATGGAAGAAAGAGGGAAGCGGGGGGTACCATAGCGTTGGTGATAATACTTCCTACGGCGGATTCTGCAGGCGTTTTCGATAATTGTCGTTAAGGCGTAAGGAGCCTTTTTGGTGAACGGATAGAGTTTAGCATCTCAAGACAACGCGTAACTTAAAATATGCTGTTTTCATCATTTAACCTTCGCTTGTTGGAAAAACATAATAATAGATCGTTTTACAGGAGCGAGATTTGGTAAAAAATATCCTGATCTAGACAACTTTTCTTTTTGCTGTTTAATTGGATTTAAGACGTTTTCTTATCATATCAATATTTTAGCTGTTAGTTTATTCTATTTCATCTATCTTGTGTCGTTAATTTGCCCTTGTTAAGTCTACTGCAATTCTGTAATGGATTTTACTTGAAATAAATATATCACTTATTAAAACACTATCTGAAATACTTGAATAACAAGACAATAGATACAGTCGCAAGTCGCAACGTGTTTTAACAAAACAATCCGCCCTTGACTTCCTGTAATTTATTACCGGCATCAAGGTCTCTTAATTACCGAAGTAAAATTTACGAGTGAGCACGCAGCGTTGTAAAGGCTTTGATATTCATACGAAATTGTAGGTAGTATTACATTTTAAACCAAAAGAAAGCTCAGAATACCCAATTAAAAGTAATTATAAACTGGAAACTCTACTCGTAAAGAATGCACGCAGAACAGCGCCAAAAATGAACAGTAGGATAGGCCTATCACGTTCTGGTTATTTTTTTTTTCACAAATAACCATTAGCTAAACAGCAACCTCTCATTACGATTATGTACAGTTTTATTGTTTAATTTTCACCCCTTACCAATTTCAAATATTTATAAATGATTGCATTTCAGGCAGATTATGATCATTATATTTTTATTGCCATACCTTTGTTGCATTTAAGAGGTTCTTCCACATAAAAAAAGAAAGTAATCGTGCTGAACAGGGAGACTAGCATTTTAAACATTTGTCCTTTTAAATGCTCTTCCCCAATAAAGTAAAATTACAAAGCTTTCTTTTTAAAACGAGTAAGTCTCCTGAAAGAATGTTAGACGTATGAAGCTAATTGCTATAGATAAACTGCTCATGTCCCCCCTCTCCAATTATAACTGCAACATAGCCCAAGTCACCTGTAGTAACCCTACACCAAACAAAATGGCAACATCTGACCATGGACGTGCAACTCCCTGTTGTATTTCCATGATCTGACACATAACAATAACCATCTTTTTTTGGTTGTTTTTTTTTCATGGAAACTTTCACTGACAAACTGATGCATACAAGTGAAATAGAGATGTCTTATTTGGTGTCATTCTTTCTATAATATTTTTCTTCATTTTCAGTTTTACATTCACTTCCCCATTATGTCCATATTGATACTAACAGAAAGAAAGGGGAAAGTCTGATTCCATGCTGGTGTTTACCTTATCTACAGATTTTGTTACTTCCTTGCATGTTAACAACCGCACGTATATGATTATGTACTGTTTTTTTTTAATAACAGTTATCAAAATAAACATCCATTTTACTACATCTTCATGTCGTATTTTTTAACCACTTTCTTCCAATGGTCCAACAATAGATGGCGACAGCATAGTCTTCTCCCTTCAAATGCTGTTCACCTCTTTCAACCCACCATCACCTTGAAAATCAGAAAACAATAGCCACACTACTAGTAGGCTAGTTCATGAAACCTGAATAGTAATAAATGCATGGCCATTTTTGTTTCACAAGGTTTTCCTTTATGTCCATACACTTTTCTGGCAGACTCTCTTCAAGCTGTCAACATGGAATGGACAATCCTATAATATTTTAAGGTCCACTTCTTAATATTATTATGCATTTCTTCCATGTTGCTCCAGATGTGGCTTATTTAAATAGTAATAAATAGACTGCCATCAGAATACATGTCAATGCCACAGGGATGTGGAGTCTTGTTCCTATCACAGAGGCTGAAACAAAGAGAATATATAATCACCAAACTTCAAAACAATAAAATAAACTTTAAAAACTAATCTGTCTGCTTTTATGTTTTTATAGGTGAGCTATTAAATTTAACTGCTTTTTCATGCTAGATTAGACCTGTTGTTGGGATAATGAAATTCAATCATTATGTAGTTAAAATAATGATGTAAATGTAATGAGCATAAAAATTACGAAAAGGATGCCATTAAGAAAAGAGCCCATGACAATGAAACCTTTCCTAACATACTAAACAGAAAATAGTAGGCTTTGTTTTAAAGAAAACTACATACTTACCAAAAATCATCAAAACTTTGAAAGTTATATCAAACTACCAGTAGTTTATCTTCAAATCCATTTTTTTAAATCATATATGATAATAATTAAACAGCATCTGAAGTATGTTCACACCTTAGCTTTCAGCTTGTGTTTTATAATTATCATATAAGGTCCAACTACCAAGCTAATGAACATTATTTGCTCACTTTAACAAATATTCAGAAGAAAAGTATATGTACAGCATTAAAATTGCAGGAATCTGTTGAATAATTAAGTCACCTTTATAGAACACTCCCAGGAATCCCTTCTTCTCAGAGAGGAACCACTGCTTGATGCGAGGCACCCTCCTCATGTAACCACATGTGCATATGACCAGGACGCTGAACACCAGTAAACCGTCAAAAGAATAGGCTGAAAATAAATATAATGTACCAGTACTGTAAAGGACAGTAACCAAAAGTAGGTAACCTTGTACAATTTTTGTGCGCCAGCAGTACTAGATAGTTTTGCTAGTTCTTATCGGTTTAAAATGACTTCAAACAAATTAGTTCTTCCCGCCTGGAACGAGTATCGTACCTAATTATAACTCTAATATACAACAATAATTATTATTATTGTCAACCACATGAACGGGTGTTTCGTTTTGAGGGGGGGGGGGCGAAAACAACACTACAGTTCAGCTATCAGTATCGTGCAATTTATGACCCAACTACAGAAAATATTTACTGACCATTCGTCATCTTCACGCCTGCAGATATATATAATAAAAACAGGATCAGATATCTTGCATGATTTTAAGATCTACCTCACAACACTAGAAATAAACTCCAACATGGCGCGGAAGCGGAAATACGATGACTTGCGCAAAACAGGTGCGCGTTTCTTCATTTCCGGTCCATGTTGCATGAGACGAGGATTGTGCTTGAAATGTGTTGAAATAAATTTTGGCTTTCTCATAGATAGGATCATACGTTATCGAGACTTGTAACTGGTAAGAGAGGTGTGTATATGACTGATGAGTGACTGTGGGTGAATGAAGTTTAAAGTTTCATAAATGTTTTGCCGATTCTTTTTGGTGATTTTAAACATTTCATTGTACATGTACACTTGGTCTTGTCAGTGAAACTCTGCTGGCAGATCCAAGTAGAAATACAATTATTTACCACATTAAATTGTTGCGATCCTTGTAAATTGTAATTTATATATATATATATGGTATTAATATTTGTAATTTAAACAGATCAAAAACACTTTCATACAATGAAATGTTCTTGGAAATAAACAATTAAGCTAGGTTAGAATAAAATTAACATGACAGATGTCCCAGCAAAGTCGTTGATTCATACAATCTGTTTCATGAATTTGACGAAATTTAGGACTGTCAGCATCATGAGCAGTGCAGTGCCAGACAACATGAACTTCCCCAAGGAGGAAGAGGTCGTTCTTGAACTGTGGAAGAAGTTGGATGCATTTCAGACAACATTGAAGCAGTCTAAAAACAGGCCACGGTAAGTACGTGATCCATACACGACTGGCAATTCAGTCAATCTTGTTATCATTGTCAGTTCTGATTGCAGTTGAGCAGGTGCCCATATAACATATATGCCAATTTAATTGTACACCTTATGTAAAATCTGGAGGCTATATAGTGTATANCATATTTTACCTGTTTATTGGTTATATGCACACTGGAAACAGAAAACTTGAAAAATTTACGAAAATATTTGAGTAAAATGATGCTATTTGAGTGCTGCAGCTTCAGTAATCAACATTTCCAAATGAGAATATCTGCATCTTACTTGACAATTTTTTTATCAGGAAAATGTCACCAGACTAGGACGATGGATTGACTTCCGTAACGACTACAAGACGATGTACCCCTGGTTCATGGAGTCCATATGGTGGGTGTTCAAGCAGCTCTTTGAGAACGGGATGGTTTACAGAGGGGTCAAGGTCATGCCTTTCTCCACCTCCTGTAACACACCGCTGTCCAACTTTGAGGCTGGGCAGAACTATAAGGACGTCACTGATCCTGCTGGTAGGTACAGGTCAAAGGTTGTTCAAGGTGAAATGTCATAGAGGCCAAAGGTTGTTCAAGGTCAGAAGTCAAAGGTAACATGACAACAGCATTCTAATGTGAAGTGATAAAACCATTGATGAGATTTTTGAGACTTTCGGTGGATTTCTGACTTTTTGGGAGCAATATATATATTTTTAGGTTGATGCAGGTGGCCCGCCTGGACCTCACTCCATATTTTCAGACTTTTTTAATAAATGACAGTTTCTTCCCTGTAATACTGAAGACTGTACAAATGTTTATGTTATAAAAATATTACTTTTTAAACTAGAAATACTGAAATTATTGTTTGGATGGTATGCCCTTCACACATTGATGTTAGACATTTACTCTTCATTGATGTAATATATTATTCAATATATTCCAGTGATATAGATATTTATTTTTAACATTCCAGTGATCATCTCGTTCCCCCTGGATGAATACCCCAGTGTCAGTATGATAGGTTGGACCACCACCCCCTGGACACTGCCCAGTAACCTGTCCCTGTGTGTCAACCCAGAGCTGGACTATGTCAAGGTCAAAGGTCAGTGTGGACAGAAAATAGTGGGGTAGGGGGGGGGGAGAGAGAGGAGGGCAGATTTCTGCCGAAATGATGGGATTAAGTATTATCAATAAATTGTTTTAGTAAAATGGTATTGATAAGAAAAAATGTGTCTAACTTAACAAACCTTGTATTTTCTTTGAGAAAAGTAGGGCACTGTTGAACAGTGTCCTCTCTGATATTTTATTAACCTTTTAATCCAATTTTGTCATCTTTGCAGACAATGAGACTGACAAGGTTTATATTATGATGGAGGCCAGACTGGATGCTCTCTTCAAGACACCTCAGGAGTACACCATTCTAGAGAAGTATGCCTTGACCTTTATTGAGATAATTCTTAACATAGTCATTGTCATAGCTGTCATATATACAGACGTACAGTTTAAGTCTATGCATAAATTAAAGAAACGTGTGTATATTAAGTATTGATGTTTTGATGAACATGTTAATCTGATAACTGAAGAAAAGAAATGAAGGGAAAACCTGAGTAACTTAAAGTTAACTATACAATGAAAAGAAGTTTGACCAATATAATTGCCAAATACAGTGTATTTACTTTAGCCGCAGTGTAAAAATATTTTACAATCAGTGTTTCAAGCTGTTATCCCAGGAAGAAATACAAATCTAAACAGGACACTGGTCACTAGTTTGGCAGCTGTGGAGGGAGAAAGTGTAAAAGAGAAGAATGGGACCTTGGAGATGTTTGAAACTAAATATCATTTAATACATATCAACTTTTTCTTTTAGATTTAAAGGCATCACCCTGAAAGGGAAGAAATATGAGCCGTTGTTCCCCTATTATAAGGAGGTAATTTCAATATACTGCATAGATCAAAAGGCTAGCATTTGATTCTAAGCTTTTCTTTTTAGCAGCTTAACTTTATCAGTACGTCTTCTTACAGTTATTGTTGCAGACATAAAAAATTAAAGAACAATGACATTATTTTTCCATTGAAATGGGCATTTACTCATAAATATATAATTTTATTAATCTCAGTTACTTTTTGTAAAACATATGTCTGTAGAAAAGTTTCATACAATGTTTGAAAAGTTGTATTTAGAATCAACAGCTTACTAGACATCACATTATTAATCTTCTTTCAGAGAAAAGCAAGAGGAGCCTTCCAGGTCCTGTGTGATGGCTACGTAACCACAGAGAGCGGGACAGGGGTGGTCCACCAGGCACCTTACTTTGGAGAGGTAAGTGGAAAGGGGGGGGGGGCTGGGATAATATACAGTACAATTACATGTTGTGCACAGATTGCAACATTAACAACTGGTCCTTTGCCCAGGATTTTCCATAATGTGTTGATATTGTGGTTCAAAAGGTCATTAGATTTTTTTCTGGAAGTTGTTAGAAAAGCTTTCAGTTTGTTTTAATTTTTTCTTCTCTAATTTAACTGTTACATGATGATTCTAATGTTTTACATCTGTGTAGAAACAAAAACATGAAAAAAAAAACAATAAAATATCTGTCACAATTCGTTAAGAGATAGGTTTATATATATGTGTTCTGTTTTGATTTGTTAGGATGATTACCGAGTATGCCTGGCAGCTGGGGTGATATCACGAGATGACGATCTCATATGTGCAGTAGACGCCAGTGGCAGGTTTACACTCCCTGTCACAGACTTCAATGGCCAGTATGTAAAGGTGAGACATTTTACCTCTTTTTTCCTCTAATTTTGGGAGAACAATTTGTTTACATTGTATTCGGAGTTTTTGCACTGCTTTGTAAAGGACTTGCCTGTGAAATCAATATGAATGGTCCCGTCCTCTGCTTTTCAAAGAGGGGAATTTTTTTTTTTAATTTATGACTTGCCCAAGAAGGGTAATACCTCACTTATGTTATATTAATTGGATCTGGTAGAGCTTTCAACAGTACTTAAGTAAATCTAAGTTTATTCCTTATTGCATGAAAATCTTAATGGAAATTTAAAATTATTATTTTTGATAACTTCAGGATGCAGACAAAAATATAATCCGTTGGCTGAAAGAACATGGCCGCCTTGTCCATCAGGGACAAATAAAGCATAGTTATCCATTTTGCTGGAGGTAGGTCAAATGGATTTCAGATAATTTGGTAATCAGGCCACTGACTGGCAAAATTATTTGCTTTCATAAACATGGTACTTTTAAAGTAACTTTCCATAATAAACTTACAAGTACCACACCTTGAGTTGCTAAATCATCATTATTTCAGAAGAAAACAAAGATGGATGAGAAAAATTCTTTGAAAAAAGCCACTGTAAATATAAAATGAGCTTAAAGGTTTAGATTCATATTTAAATTTAAGTGATATTGTTGAATTATCTTCAGCAGTAAACAAATCTTGTCTGGTTTCAGGTCAGAGACCCCTCTGGTGTACAAGGCAGTCCCCAGTTGGTTTGTGAGAGTCCAGAGCATATCAGAAAAACTGCTTAAATGTAATGAAGACACTTACTGGTGAGTTTAAGCACATTATATAAGTATCTTGTCCAGGGTTTTGACAGCAGGTTAAATGTTTTATTAAGTTAAAAGCAATTTTCTCCCACCCACGAGTCATAGCTCTACCTGCCCTTACATACTGGTTTGTAGAATTTATAATTGAATTATTTTCTAAATGTCTGGCCTGCGAATGTTTTGAATTGAAAAACTAATTTGTTTTTAAGACTTGAAAGATGTTCTTATATTCAGTTGTAGTGACTATTAAATGGTATGCGTTTTATTCATGTTCCAAATGATCATTCTAACATAATATACCTATTAAGAATCCCTTTGTGCAACCAACTGTTTAAAAAGAGTTGTGCATTTGAAAAAAAAAAAAAAACTGTTCCTATTTACTCCGTGAGCAGTTCAAAGTACACACCAAATGTGTTTTCTTTTTCCCAGGGTTCCAGAGTTTGTCAAAGAAAAGAGGTTTGCAAATTGGTTACGAGACGCGCGTGATTGGGCGATCTCTAGGAATCGTTACTGGGGCACACCTATCCCACTGTGGATCAGTGACGATGGGGAGGAGGTGAGGACACACGCTCTTTCTTCTCGTCAAGTTGTTTAGTCTAATAACTGCTTTCTATACAATCAACTTTAAGTTTTATCTCTTGAAGATTTATAGATGTCCATTTTACAGTTTTTTTGACTACAGGAACCTGGACAATTTTACTTCCAAATTTTCATGATATTTTTGACTTTGGAAAAAATATTTTGATTGCATTGAAATATGTAACTTTAAACAACTTGCCTTCTGATATTTTAAAAATGTA